GCTGGGTTTTCCCTCCTCTGTCCTGCCCCTCCTTTCTCTTACATTCCTTCTCTCTCTCTCTCTCTCTCTCTCTCTCTCTCTCTCTCTCTCTCTCTCTCTCTCTCTCTGTCTCTCTCTCTCTCTCTCTCTCTCTCTCTCTCTCTCTCTCTCTCTCTCTCTCTCTCTCTCTCTCTCTCTCTCTCTCTCTCTCCTTGCCTGGATCTCCCCCCTTCCACAGTTGTCCTCACATATTAGGTTCCCCTGTCCTAAGAAGCAGAATTAGCCAGGAATCCTGCGCACTTGTTTCCTTCAATCCTGGAAGAAGGTGGCTGCATGAAGGGAAAAGGTAGAGATAACAGAACCATGGAGAGATTACAAGATATCTGAGAGAAAAATGGAAGATTCAGAGAGAAAAGGGGAGATAAGAAGGACGAACATGCAGATGCTTGCAGTTTGATGCAGCTACACTGGAGGCATGTGGCAGCCTGCTCCGAGCTTCTCCCTCTACACTCTCCATCTGACTGCTGGAAGCTCTGTACTCATGTCGCCAAGTGCTACTTGATTCATCTCTCAACAAGAACGTGAGAATACCGTCTCGACTTTACTAAAAGGGGACATATCCTATGTTACCATACCAACTTCTAGACTGCTGAACAAAGGACCAGGATCATTTTGAGCATCGCGAGGAACAGAGACAACCAATGTGGGGCCCAGGTAAGATTAAAACTGTCTAAATGTAAAATGACTCATTCTTTGATCCCCTTTAAAAGAACCGAGATGCGAGATAAAGTGGGATTCTTTCAAATTTACAATATTCTAAAGAGCAAGTGTGGAGGAAGGCAACACTTTGAAGGCTTCTACTCTTTGAGAAACAGTCCCCGGAAAACAGCAGCTCTTTCTACCCACACCTGCTCTGAGCCCAACTTTTTCCATACATCACCGATGTGATGCAGGAACAGAATGATGGAAAGAATTTAGATTGGGCGTTTTCTGTTGTGTTTCATATCCGTTTTTCCTGACAATGAAACTGTTCCAAGTGCTCTCGTGCAAAGATACAGTCAGGTGGTGGAAACAAAAAGTCAATCAAATTGGAGCTCAAAGATTGAATTTCGCTTGAAAAAGACATGCAGCTGGTAGAAATGTCAAACAAAACAGAAAACAGGGATTTCTGTCATCAGCATGTGCTGAAACCCATCTGGAGATAAACTAGAAAGTATGTAGAGTGTCAGTAAGGAGTCTACATTTAATGAGTGAAACTCTTTTCCTTGAGTTAAATGATTATGCAACATACCCTGTCGCGGATCTTTATAAAGGTGCTGAAAGCAGATGGCAAATAATACAGAAAGACTTGTGTGTATATATATATATATATATATATATATATATATATATATATATATATATATATACATATATATATATATATATATATATATATATATATGTATATTACAGAGGTCAGGGCTTTGGGAAGGACATCCCAGCAGCTTAATGTTGTTAATGTTTATCCAATACGAAGCCAGTTCTGATCTCTAAAGCTTTCAGGTGAAGCTAAAGAATTAGGACTTTGTGTAGTACACCAGCACCATACTATGGTACTGCCACCACCATGCTCTACCATTGAAACAGTGTTTGAAAGCCTTTCTTTGGTTCAAACACACTGGTGTTCCAGCATTTCCAGTTCATGGTTGGCTGATCTTTGGTGGTTCTTGGGTTGTTCCTGAACATCCTAAACAACTTCATTTGAAGTGATGGTGACTGATGATTATTGTTCAATTCAGTAAGTTCTGTCAAACTAATAGTTTATGTTGCAAATAAATTCATAAAAAATATTACCTGCTGCAATCGTTGACCACTCACTAGCGAGAAAATAATTAGCCTCATCTTGTTCAAAAGACTTTCTAGAACCTTCAACACAACTTATTAAAATTTCAAGTGATTATTTTAAAAGAACAACACAAAACTTGTTTTTGACATTTAATGTTGTTGTTAAAAATAATTGAAGCTGCATGTTGTGCAATTGGTTTATCGTGTAAAGAGTACAATTATAATAAATCATTTATAGTCCAAACATTCAAGCCCAAAATTATTCTGACTTGTTAAGTATCAGATAAACATCTGGTTAGGAGTTAAAATAAATAAAATACTGTATAAACGGAAGCTGAAACTCACACATTTGGGAAGATCTCCTTCCTAAATTTTACTCAAAGTTGTAAATAAAGTAGCTCCAGGGATGGGGCTTTCATATTATATAATTCATATTTTTATATGGATCTCCAGAAATGACTAGTTGTTCCGGGATTCCTGAAAACGTAAATGCATTTAATTTATGTTAGACTGACATTGTAATACTTTAGTTCATACATTAAATAGATTTAGATGGAAGACCTGATAAACTAAACACAAAAACAATGCAGATCCAATTATTATTGCAACGAGTATCAAAAGATGTGCTGAATACAGAACGGTGTGTCGTCCTCCTCAGCTCCTATTTAAACCTGTGGTGGTGCAGGAAACACCTGCTCTCCGTCAGAACTCACAACCATCAGTAGAGAAACACACAGGTGACCTTGTCACTTAAACATGATTAACAATTGTTTGTTTCAGCTTTTAAAAGAACCGAGTCTAACAGAACGTTTGATAAACTCCATGGGTGTGTCGTCATTTTCTGGCAGCCCAGTCTGTAATTCACTAAACACTGAAAGGCAGATTCACTGGCATTAAACATCAAATAAAGACATCATTTAACGTTGGCAGGACTCTCATCTGAACTCACCGCTAACGACCAAAGCTAAAATTAGAGCTTAACAAGCTTGTCGACACAGTTATGGCCTACTGGGGCAGATTAAGGGAATGATAGCAGAGGTCAGGAGCATCATCTAACACACACACACACACACACACACACACACATGCAAGCACACACACGCACATGCAAGCGCACACACACACACACACACACACACACACACACACACACACACACACACACACACACACACACACACACACACACGCACATTCAAGCGCACACACACAGATGGTACAAAAAGGTTCTGTTTTACAGAACAAATGTGCTCAGATTACTTCATGTTTTTTACTTTAAATTTAAAATGAAATGCAGTTAACTGAAAGGAAACCAGAGTCTGCAGACAGGAAGTGATCTTCATCACCACGTTCATCTGCAGGTCAGATACAGTGTATGTTACAAACACATAATCACACTTGGGAGGATCCTGAACATCTTGAAGTCGGAATGTCTGTTCATTAATGCAGAAATAAAACATGTTGAGTGCTGAGCTTTTATGGTTATGATAAAATAAGCCACCACAAGGAAACAGAAGTAAAAATGTTGAAAATAGTTTTAAAGTCTGGTCTCAGTTGGACTCATTCAGCAAATTTATCAGGAATGATAAAGATTGAATGATTGGGCAGCATAGAGACTGTAGTCCCTCCAGCGTGTGCTGGGGATCACTCCCTTCACCACGGCAGACTGGCACAGCACCCACATCGCTGCAAATGATGTTAGGAAACATTAATTAAAAATGTCAAAGAAATGTGAGAAACAAGAATCTGTAACAAAATGATTTATTTCTTAAAAATAAAAAACGTTTTAAAATTAATGAAACTGCAGCTTCCTTAAGTTTTGTTGACTAAGGAGAAGAACCCATGTTTGAAGTCCATCAGAGAATCTCTCAAAAACAGGCTTATTATAACTGACATTGAATGAAGACTGTCTTTTTTGATTCCTGAATTCAAGAAATACCAATCTCCTGTTCCCTTTTCATACCAAAGTGTATTATGATATTTTTCTTAAGTTGTAATAGTTCTATGGTTGATATGAAATATGTTCATAAAGTTTTTTGCACTAAAGCCATCCCACATATTCTTGATATTTTCAGCACCTTCCGTAGTGAGCCATTTCATGGCTCTGTCACTTTAAGAAAACAAGCTGGAGCTGGCCACACCCACCAATCCCCTCGCTCAAGCTGCTATAAGCTGAGAAGCTCCGATACCAGGAGAGCTTGCTGCTTCTCCAGCAGCAGCTCTCTTTTGCTTGTGAGAGATGGTTCAGCTTTAATTTCCTTGTTTGTGACATCACAAATGGGACTTTTTGAAAATGGCTTTTTTAGACACATTCTTTCTAAAACCAAACACTGACATAAATTGCGTTGATGATTTTTTCATATGTTTATAGAGGCAGTAGAGACCCACACAGCAGCATAAAAAGATAAAAAGGGGAGTTTTGTATAATATTTCCCCTGTTTCATGTCTTGTTTGGAAATGATGATGATGTTTAGGTCAAACCTTGACATTTTTGTAGAGCCCAACTTAAGGTGTATTACAAGATCTCATGAGTGTCAGGTAAGTGACAAGTAAGCCTATCAGCTGTAAAACTGACAGGGTTGGTTATGTATGGATGTTCAACAAATGATACCTTTCAGAGTGTTTTGATAACATCCATCTTGTGCCTCATGAAGCACTTTACTAAAACACACACACACACACACACACACACACACACACACACACACACACACACACACACACACACACACACACGCACTGGCTGGTTTGTCACATGAACCCGTTGGTCTGGTTACATCTCCTCATGGTGACATCCATTAAAGTCGTGCTGTGTTTGACCCTCCACCCTCAGACAGCCACATTAGCACCTGGTCCTTTGGTTACAACAATACACCTGCCTGCATTATTCAGGCAGACCCTACTAATGAGGAAACCTTATCACACAAACACACACAGCCCATCCTAGGTTTACACAGGCTTGAACACACACACACACACACATGCACACACATATCATCATATTTACTTTGATTGTTTACCTTTAGTCAAGGTCATGTGACTCTGATGGGTATGAGAAATGCTTTATAAGTCCTTAAATATCTACTTTCAGCGTAGCACTTTTGGTAAATGTGCAGTAAGTGTTAGAGCACATTCAGCAGTTTTTCCTCCTGCCCATCAAACAGCTGTCAGCGTCTCCTCCGACCTGCTGTTTCAACGCCTCCTCCACACCCAACACGTTCATGCTGGAGTCAGTTTACATTAACCTCAGTCTGCCCTCTCCTCCCCACAGCGTTTCATCCAGTCTCTCAAGCTGTCACTCTGTGTTCCACCTCATTTTGGTCTCCTCACACGGCCCTCAGAACTCAGTCAGCGTTTTTGAGAATAAACCTCTGACCCAACATCAGGTAGAAAGGAGCACAATCCAGGGATTCACAGTTGGAGGGAGTGTGATTTTAAACCAGGCATGGCGCTCTCAGGGCATGTTTCAGAAGATGGAGGAAGCTGAGTACAAAGTGCGACGAGAGCAGACACGAGAGAAGAAAAATGGTCAGTAGTAAACAGCAGGGAAAGGATGACAGAGAGAGAGGGAGAGCAGAACTGACAGCAGCATTATCGCTCTGCCTCCTGATTCAAACGCCACAAGAAAATTCTCTGCTGCGGCTCTTCTCATTGGCTGCACCTCTGGCCAATCACAGCTAGGCATACAAGGTGCCTTTAGGTTATACCAACCCCAAAATATGACAGAGAGACAGAGAAAGGCGTGCTTTAGTGCAGAGGTTCCTCCTGTGAGGCAAGCCTCCATCCCTCCAGTCCTCCTCCTCCTCCTCCTGCTCCTGCTGCTGCTGCTGCTGCTGCTGCTTTAGCTGGAGTCACCACATCACAGTGAAGACATTACAGGCTTCATTGCAGTAGATTGAGCAAATATTTTGTTGCAGCCTGAGCTGCTGGGTCTCTCCTCTGGCAACAGCTGGCCGATCCGCGTGTGGAGATCACAGGCAGAGGAGGCTTTTCGTGTGGACAAGGGGAGCAGAGGCAGGTTACCTGTAGGGACACAAAGTGAAAGTTGTGATGCTCTTTGTCTTTTTCACTTTGAGTTTTGAATGCCAGAGATGCAGGCGCCAAAGATTTGAATCGCCCCTGTAGCTGATCGGAGCATAGAAGTGTCGAGCCTGAAGATAACGTGGGAAGCAGAAGGATACAGGATGATCTTGGGTAAGGCAGCACTAGACAGATTTCCTGTTTTTTACTTCTAATAATATCATCCGTTGGCTTTGTAGTTTCTGTCAGAACGATCACTCATGTCAGGCACAAAGTTTGGGTCGAATATCTGCTGCTGTATCTCAGAGTCACGCCTGATGAAAAAGCTGAACTAATTGGAAAAATCTGCACGAGGGAATCAGAGGTTTTTCTTTTGGTCACAGATTATGTCACGTGGCTGAGGGCATTTTAGTCGTGGTCATCTTGAATATCTGTCCATTCATTCAAACAAATGGAGAAACCAAATTAAAACATAGGGAAATGTATTTGTTTGTGTAAAAGAAGCAAAGCAAGCCACATCCCAGAGCATTAATCTACTGGAACTAGAGGTAGACTTGAATTTGCTCTGCCTCTCCAGACGTGGACAAACAGGGAAAAGAAAGTGCAGCAGCTGCTTCGACCAGCTTGTAATTTAGATAGTTTCAGCAAGAGGGATCCTTATACATCTTTTACATTTTTTATTTAAATAAAACAACGTTTTCATCCTGGTCAGGGGAATGACATGGCTAAAAATGTCATCATTTGACCTCTAATTTAAATACTCCAGTGTGACTATTGATTGAGGCAGTGGTTCCCAACCTTTTTACACGAGGACCCCCTACCTGTGTCCAAGACAAGCCAGGGCCCCCAACCCCGACTTCTACCTGCATGCACACGATTTAAAGTGAATAATCACAACCTTTATTCAGAAATACAGAGCTGTAGTGCTTAGTTTGATTCTGCTATCAGATGTGTCACTGGAATTTTATAAATGTGATTTTTACAAATATAATCTTGATAACCTCACCGCATCAACACAGACAACATTATGGGGACCCTCCGCAGTTTTGTGGGGACCCTCTCAGGGGGTCAGGGACCCCAGGTTGGGCACCACTGAACTAAGGCTGTAACTGCATATGTAACCATATTAGAAAAATTATTCAACAAATAAAAGTATGTTCATCATCAAAATTGAATACATTCTACTAGATGGACCCTCACACTTTGGATGGAGGCTGAGATGCTAAAGCACTCAGTGTTGTGGTCGATTGTCGCAACTGATGCCGTCATCAACATCAACACAAACGCACGAGCTTATGTATATTTCATTAAACGTGGCTTAAAAACAGCTTTTTAAAATAAATGTTGTCAAAATTTAGTGAATGAGCTCATCCGACATTCTCATGGATTAAAGAAGCTTTGACCTCTGATAAGACTGCGCATTCCCCACTGAAGGCTTCGCTTAAAACATAATCGATAAAAGAGAAACCTCTACGGTTTCTAATCCTCATTTTGATTCAGATGTGTAGCTGAATGAGCCAGTCTGCTGATCCTCTCACCTCCCTCCAGTTCAACATACTGGGTCTGTTAGAATCAGGGTGTTTAAATAAAAGAATAGGAAAACATATCATAAAAAGATGCAAGATATTTTATTTTACTTTTGCAATGAGGTGAAAATGAAAACAGGAAATGCACGAATATGCATTGCTAAATTTGGTTTAAATGTAAAGGCCAGCATCGTCATGTTTTGAGCTTTCCTCTTTACACTTCCAGCCTGACATGTGTGTGCACTGATATCATTATAAGTGTCTTTACAGTAAATTTGATTAACTGCAGTGACCTTGTTCCACGTACGCTGACTAAATATTTGCTCACTCTTACCCCTCTTCCTGTGATCTGAGTGTGAGCTGCAGCTCGTGCTAATTCCTTCCCCACTGCGGAGGATTTAACGCTACGTGCACTATAACTGCTAAACACAAACACGTGAACACGGCGACATGAGCTGATGGGATTTTGGAAACTGTATTAGCTTCTTTATTTATTTATTTGATGGAAAGGAAAAAATCCAGCTACCAAAATAGCATCCTTGACCCTGGCAGTGAAGGGACGTCTCTTTTTTTCCGACAGCTCTTATTTCTGTTTCTCCGTCTGCATCCTCACTTTTTAAAATGAAAGAGCATTTTTAACTTGTCAACCTGAGGAGCAATTGGGACTGTGAGGGAAATGTGCTAAAGCCGTCTTCAGTCAATGCAGAGCAGTGTAGATTTAGTAGCACTTGTGTAATTTTTGTGATGAATATTTCAGACCCAGGGGGAGGTTTATTTATTTAAAAGTGAGCCAAGGCTTCCTCTACTCTGATGCAAAGACCTCACTCAGCACTATGCAAAAGTTCATCTCTTGCATCAACCAGTGTGTGAGCGTGTGTGTTCTGTTCTACGATAAAATTTCCCCTCTCAAAAATGCCCTCTGAAAGAATCACAGGCACACGGTGTCCCTGGTAAACAACATGACCTTTAAGTCTGCAATGCCATGAAGGGTGAAACATATTGACATTTAAATTGGAGAAATGCGTCTGCCACTCTGCATGTTTGACACAATTTTCAGCTGTCTGGGAAGCTGGAAGCTGTTGTGAAACTTCCATAATCAGCTCGAAGACAGATAAGAGAAGGTCAAATCATAATATGGTTAAAAAATGGACAGAGATGCTCTGATATCGCCACAGGAAGCATGGCGTGTAGCTTCCAAGTCTCAAAATATAGCACAGGGAGGTGTCTAAAACTCATGTTTGTTGACATATGTCTGGTATACCTGACTGGTACTGCAGAATAAAGACTGTCGTTACATGGTTAACTGTCTTATCAACCCTAAACCCAAACTCTTAGGATTACACTCAAAAAATTCTAATATGATGCAAAAGTTCATTAATGTCAGTAATTCTACTTGAAAGGTGAAGTTAATATGTGAGACAGACTCATTACATGCAAAGCCACATATTTTATCCTTTATTTGTTATAATTGTGATGGTTACTGCTTATAGCTTATGAAAAGATTCAATATAATCAACTCTAATCAGCTAATTCATCTAAAACACATGCAAAGGGTTTGTGACCCTTTAAATGGTCTCTCAGTCCAAGCTCAGTTACTGAAATAAATAGATTTTGCACCATATTTTCATTTTTGAGTTTCACTTGTACACAGGAAAGCATTCCTAATGAGGGTCAGATGACACTAAAGGCACATTTTTTTAGACCATTTTAAATTATCTGAATTTAAAAAAAATTAAAAGAAAATTATGACCCAACTTGTTGGACTTGTGGGTCACTGGATACAAAAATCAGTCTGTGTGGATGCTGGTTCTGTTTTGTGCAGCCTGCTGTCAGTGTGAGAGTTACTGTGAAGCCTCGTGTTACAGCAGCAGAAACATGTCAACACCGCTTTCTGCAGGCGGACTTGGACAATATGTCAAGTGGCGTTGGCCTGCAAGAGCCATGTTTACACACACCTGTTTGAACTAAAATAAATGAAAGAAGGGTTCTGGTTGGTCGGTGAGGTGGAGACGGCTGGTCACTTAAGTCTCATTCACCTTTGGTGATTCATCAGGAAACACCCAATAACAAAAAGGCAGGCAATATAGTTTTTGTCAGTGTGTGTGTGTGTGTGTGTGTGTGTGTGTGTGTGTGTGTGTGTGTGTGTGTGTGTGTGTGTGTGTGTTTGTGTGTTTGCACAATATCTTATAACTGAAAAGTTATTATTGCATGTACATCTGCACCTGCTTAATCTATAGAGTCAGTCCAGTTAAAGATGGCCGCCACAGCTGATCAAACACAAAAATGTCTAAAGCTCAATCAGTTTTCCATGTATTATGAACATTTTTCATGTGGAAGAAGCTGAGATCGAACACATTCTTACAGATTGTCCTCATGTTAAATTCAAAATTGGACAAAAAGCAAACAAAACCCCCAAACCCAATTCTTTGGAACGGAAGACAATCGTAAATTCAAACTGTTGGCGTAAAAGGTGGCGGGTTTAATCTGTTTCAGATTTTATAAATCTACAAGTTGAATCTTCAACCATAATGGAGACAAGAGAGCTTGTGATCATATTATGTTGCTTCATGACCTCGCTGACTTCAGATTCCAATCAGTTCCAAGAATACAGCCCATAATTTCTGTTTTCATTTGGCAAAAGGAGCTAAATGGCACTTCTGCGCGGTGAGATTTTTATTGTCCTTGTTTGTGCGGAATGAATCTGATGCACATGTGCTTTCTGTCTACTTCCCCTTTGTGATTTGCTCTCCCAGGCCTCTACTGGCTTGTGTCTTCAGTTGTGTGCTGTTCGGCCTCCCAGCAGGTGTGTAAATGGTTTGACAAAAGAAATAATAATGCGAGGCAGGCAGTTATGTTGACACAGTGGATCTCCTGATGGTCCTCTCTTTGCTCTGAGAGGCTTTGTGATGTAGAGCCCTCTGTTTGCCTTTAACTGTGTAACATTATGTCAGCAACTTAATGAGAGGGAGAGAGTTAGCAGCTCGATTCAGGGTTTTCTAACACTTCCCTTTAGATATACAGGACAGCAAAGCTCTTGGTTGCTTCAGCATCCACATGACCGCATTAGATCTCAGCTGGGATTAATAAAAACACGCTTAGTTAAGCTTCACTTAAATCACATCAGATTAAGTCCTGTATTCTAAGGTGAAGCCCAAATCTCACATGGGTGGAGACTCAAATTATGAACAGCAGGGTCTCACTTTCATGTTGTAGTTTTTTAATTGCAAGTTCAATGTGCTTTCAAAACAGCCAGGGAGCTGTCATTTTCATCTAGAATGTTCCATGACTGCCATACTGGTTTCAGGTCCGGACCACGGAGGTCCAAGGACCTCAACCATGTTTCTGTGATGTCATTTCACTACAACCCCAAAAATAATATTACCAGTTATTCATAGCTGAATGCAGATTTTGTTTTAGAAAATAATCTTAAAAATCATGAAATTCGAGAGGGTGCTCGCTGCAGAACTACAAAGGCGGAGCTGCACCATAAGGTGGAGCTGCACCAGAGTCAGCCCCGCCCATTCACGCAAACTCAGCCTAGCCCACTGACTTCCGTTTTTGTTTTCAACTTTATCGCAAACTGACCTGACCCACATGAATTACGGCTGTTACTAGTTTACAGTCGTTAATGCTATGTTCTATGCTCCA